ACATTTTCATTTCTCCATTGAGCAAGAACAAATGAAATTAGATTGATTTTTGTTAGAAAATTTATTTTGGTATAGACCAGGGTTCGTACTGTACCTGGAAAACCTGGAAAATCAGCCAAATTTGGATAAAGTCATGGATAACCTGGAAAAGTCAGGGAAAATTTTTTTTTTCTAGGTAGTCAGGGAAAAGTCAGGGAATTCTGATTGAGAAACTACTCGTTTTACAAATAAGCTATTATGTTTCTGTTGGTGCTTCCCATTTATTTTGACAATTAAAAAATACCCTATAGTGTTTCACACCTTTACCACACATATAATATTTTATTTTTAAAAATTTGACCACGGCTTTTTAACTTTTTTAAAATTTGAATATTTTTAAATGTATTTTAATAGGCAAAACGCTCTTATTACTAACAATTGTTTTAAAATATTAATCAATAAAAATATTTTATTTAAATTGTCTATGGTTATTATTTTATTTTTACAATAATAGTGTATGTTTCTTTTTTTTATTTATTATAAAAAAAATAATTCCTTTTTTTTATTTATTATAAAAAAACTAATTTTTTATGATCAATTTCAATCGTTTAAAACTATTTCTGTAATTTATTCTATAAACAACAGCATCTTTAACTTTAAATATTTTTGTGTCTTTAAAGTGAAAAACTTCTTTTTTTATTTTAAGTTACATAAGTTACAGAAAGTTTCAAAGATTTTCAACTTTGTTGAAAACTTTTGAAAGTTTTTATTAAAAAAGTAATGGTTTCTATAAGCATTACAATCAGGGTTGGCAAAAAAACCCAACCCAAAAAAACCCACCTTAAAAAAACCCAATAAAACCCAAAAAAACCCAAAATATATTTGGGTTTTTTTAAAAATGACCTATTTTACAACTGATAACTCTGATTTTAACACTTATAAATGCTTTATTATCAGCAAGTGCAACCTTAATACTGTAATTACTCTTGTAAACACTGTATTTATATACATAATGGTCTTTAGAATATACCAAAATCGATCAATCTGTTTTTGTAGCAAGTTGGTTATTTATTATTTTTTTAAAACATTTAGCAAGTTATTATAAATGTTAATGAAATATATTTTAAAACATTAAATTAGTTAAATACTTATAATAGAAATAAAAATCATTCTATTAACTAAATTTCAAGACATTACTAGTTATTTAGTATCTTTATTCTCCTCCCGAATGTCTATATTCCTTTATATTGGTATTTGATCTTTTATTTTTTAAAGCTTATGTTGTAAACTGCAAAAAAAAAAAAAAAAAAATACAAAGCCACAAGCGAAATACTATATATAAAAATTATTAAACTTTATTTACAGTTTAGTAATGGAAAGTTGTCAGGCAAAAAAAAAATGCTACAGTTTACTAGATTTGTCCTTAAGTGCATACAACTTTAAAACTTAAAAAAAATTAAGTTAAGTGCAAGCAAGTTTGCAACATGTTTGCTCATTCAATGAGAGAACATGTTGAAAACTTGTATGCATTTCACAAGGACAAGATTTGTTGATAAAAATGACACTCGTGCTCATCTGTCTTTTGACAGGTTTTTAATATTTTGCATCAGCTACAAGTTTACAACATGTACCACCAACAGGGGTGACTATGAACAGCAGGTTAAAAATTTTATTTTTGTGAAAAGTTTATTTTTGTGTTAGTGAAAAATAATTATATATAAAATATTTTATGTGCATAATATTTAGATTATCTTGAAGATCATCTGTAACTAAATTTTATGTGCATAATATTTAGATTTTTTAAGAAGCTCACCTGTTGTTTATTTTTAGTCATCCTTAATAATATGCATAATAAAATCTATACTAACATCCAACTTAACTAATAGCTAAGTTTTATAAGTTTTGTCATTCTAAGCATGTACATTTTAGCATTTTCATTACAGTAGTAATTTTTAACATTTTATAAAAACCATTGCTAATGTTAAAAATGGTCAGGGAAATTCATCTGATTTTTCAAAAAAGTCAGGGAAAAGTCAGGGAAATTTTTATAAATATGTGGCTACGAACCCTGTAGACTGCATGTTGTGCTTTTTTGCTCTTGTTGTGAAATTATATAATATTTACTCTGCTTGTAAGCAACTAATTAGGAATAAAATCCTTTCCAAGTCCACTAAATCTAGAAATTTCTAGTGAAGGATAAATATAAAGCTTTAAACATTAATGAATAATTCAATTAAATAACTAATTGTGAATATAATAATAATATCTAAATCACATTTTTATATGGCAGAGAGACAAGTCGAAGTCTCTTTTAAAATTAATTTGCCACTGCGCTTATAATGAGTCTAAACAAAAACGGATTAAATCTACTTTAATAGAAATTAATTTTATATTTCATTTTAATAATGTCTAAATGTGAAAATTTGGGTATCAAGACATTTTCTAATCAAATAGTAGTCAATAGCAAACCTACCTTGAAATTTAATTTTACATAAGAGTAAACCTTTTCTTAAGCTTGATTTTTATTTTTTGAAATAAATATGAAATTCACTATACGCTAATAGTCACATGCTTGGCCTAGACATTTACATTCATAAGAATTCACTAGTTTTTTGGGAAACTAGGTTTGAATCCGCAGATTATTTTTTTGGGCTTTCATTTAGCACGACTCCACTGTCTCACCTTTCTTTTTGTTTTATATTGGTCTTCTTCATCTCAGGACTGCACTTTTTGATGTAATTGCTGATCAAATTGACCAAGCTCTTTCTCTTTATCCTTCAGCCAATATTGTTGTAGTTGGTGACTTTAATGCTAATCACACTGAATAGCTCGGCTCTAGTGTAAGTGACTTTTCAGGCATTAAGGCCAACAATTTTTGTCTTTCTCAATCTCTAACACAAATAGTCAACTTTCCGGATAATCTGAATCATTTATCTTCTCTACTTGACTTATGTCTTGTTTCTGATCCTTGTCAATGCTCAGTTTCTCCACATTCACACTTAGGTTCTTCTGATAATGGTTTGATCTCTTTAAAGCTGTTATTTTATAAACCATTGTAACATGGTTTTGTCTAACGCCAAAACTCACTATTCCCAGGTCACAAAATATAGTATTTTTTCTCAGAAATTAGGCTCTCAAGAATTCTATAATAGGGGCAAATCTGTTATTCCACCTTTCTTGCACAGTTCAGATTTTGTTACTTCACTTAAAGACAAAGCTGAATTATTTGCTAAGAACTTTTTATTTATCTCATTTCTTGATTCGACCAATCACATTCTACCTGATATAACCATCAAACAGGTTAATCCATCGCTTGACATTCTTATCACCCCAGCTTCTGTATCAAAAGTGATTTCTTGCTTAAACTTCTTTAGCCTGTGGTCCAGACGACATACCTGTCATAGTCTTGCAGAAGTGTTGTTCGGAGCTGTCGTCTATACTTTCAAAACTATTTAACAAATGTTTATAGTAGTCATTTTTTGCTGCCCTGCTGGAAAGCTGTGTCTGTGTTTCCTATTTTTAAAAATTTTAGATTGCGATCCGACTTGTCTATCTATCATCCCATCAGTCTTCTTACTAGCATAAGCAATTTTTTTTGAGTCTTTAATTAACACACAATTAATCTCTCATCTTGAATCTAATAATTTACTTTCTGATCTGAAATATGGATTTTGATCTTCTCATTCTACTGCTTAATTATTAACGATAATAACTGATAGGTTTTATCGTGTGTTCGATAATCGTGGAGAGGCTAAGGCCATTGCTCTTGGCATTTCTAAAGCCTTTGATAAAGTTTGGCATTCGGGTCTTTTCCTTAAGCTTTTGTCTTACAGTTTATCAGGTAATGTCTTAAAGATTATTGAATTCTTCCTTACTAATCGTATTATAAAAGTTATACTTTGTGGACAGCATTCTTCTCATTTCCGGTAACTTCAGGGATTCCTCAAGGTTCCATCCTTGGTCCTATAATTTTTCTAATATACATTAATGATCTCCCTGAAACTCCCACATCTTAGGTGGCATTGTTGGCTGATGACACTAATATTTATTCTTGTCTTGATAAAAACCAACACTCTCTGATTGCTTGGAGAGTTATCCAAGCTTAAAATAGATCTGCTACAGCAGATCTATTTTAAGCTACTTCTGCTACAGCATGGGGTTCTCAGTGGCTGGTGAACTTGAACTCAGATAAAACTAAATATTTTTCAGCCAATTGTTATCGCAATAACTTTTATCTTCCTAAATTTATGAACGGTAATATAATTGATGAGTCATCTTCTTATCATCTTTTAGGATTAACTATTACTTCTGATCTTATATCAAATTGATATCAAAATTAGCATCTTCTAACCTTGCATCTCTTTATCTTGTTGCCACTTTTAGACTCCTATTTCCATTCTTTATCTCTATAAATAATTTATCCGTCCTTCTACGGAATACTGTTGAAATATCTGGGAAGGATCTTCCGAAGATGCTCTTTCTCTTTTAGACAAGGTGCAAAACTTAGTTGGACCTGCTCTTGCAGCCAACCTCCAACCATTATCATATGATGTTGCTTCAATCATATTGTGGTGATGTTGCTTCTCTTAATTTCTTGTACAAGTACTAAAATGGGCTCTGCTCTAAAGATCTAGTGTCTCTTACGCCATCTGTTAAAATTCATTGTCGTGTTATTAGCCATTCAATTAAGTCTCATCCTTTTATTTTTTCCTAAGTGTTTCAAAGGTTCTTATTTATCTACTTTTTTTCTTCGAGTATCAGTTTTACATTTAATTCACTTCCTTTATCTTGTTTTCCTGATTCTTATAATTTTCAACTTTTCTTTTTTTTTTTGTCTGTTAATTGTTATCTTGCTCTATAATCTTTATCTTTTTTTTTTCCAGTAATTTCTAACATAAATAGTGCTTCCTTGTTGCAAATGAAGAAAAAAAAAATTAATAATTTGCGATATTTTAAAAATAAAAATATTAAAAATAAAATGTTACTTAAATATTCAACTTTACAGATTTTTATTTTTACAGGTGGATATGCAAACATTATGGAGAAGTAATGCCCAGTGTCTTAAAGAGAGGCAAAGGGTTACGAGAAAATAGCGTGCTAGCAAGTGGTTGTAAGATGGTTATTTATGTAGCCTATAAAAAAGAAATAAGGAGTTATTATATTAAGAAAAAAAATTTAGTTCATAATCATCCACATGGGCCTGAGCAGTTTGGTATCTATAGTTCAGAACGTCAACCAAAAGGTGTTCTCGAGCAGCAGACAATGCTTCTGCTATCTCATGGTGCTAATCCTACACTTATAACAGACAATTTAAACAGGCATGGTTTAAAGACTAGACCTTGTAATATATATATAACATAAAGCAAAGAATGAAATTTAAAGGTTTTTGTTATGGTTGAAATTTCAATTTTAAATTGTATGACTTTTCTAAAAGGTTAATTATCTTTTCTAAAAGGTTATTTTTTTCCCTATAAAATAAACAGGTCCTGCACTCGATGAAGTTATAAAGATTCTTGAATTACCAAACGTCATATCCCATATTGATGCCAATCTTGATAGAAAAGTAGAGTGTATAACCTGGACAACTACTGAACAAATAAATTTGTTGAAAAAGTATCCTGAGTGTATCATGCTTGATGATACCTATAAGGTTTGTCTTAACATTGGCTAAGTGTGTGGCGTAAGATTTTTTTTGAGGGTATAATTTCTATTTAAAAAAATAGGTATTTATAAAAATAATGAATTGCTATTAATAAATTTCCTAATAATATCCAGATTAACAACTTTTCTATGCCATTATACACAATGGCTGTTGTGGATCAAAATGGCATGGGGTGACCTGTAGTGCAGTCTTTAGTTTATTTTGAGGACCAGTCACATCTACAGCTGCTAATGACACATGCTAAGGAATAGGCTGGGATTGAAACTTTTCAAAAATCGATATTCATGGTTGATAAAGCTCAAGCAGAAATATCTGGACTACAGTCTGTTTTTCCAGGAAATAAAATATTTCTCTGTCGCTTTCATGTAGCTAAAGCTTTTATTTATCAAATTAAAATGGGTAGACTTACTGCTGACGATCAGGAATTATTATTCAAGGTTTGCAATTATAATATTATTTTTAATTATTTTTATTGTTTATCTTACTAACAATTGGAAAATTTATGAATAAAACTATTGTAAAAATGCAACTATGCTCTCACTTAACTATTTAAATGTTTCATTAGGCTACTCAGAAATTAATGTACAGTAATCAGGCAACATGCGCTGAAGCTTTGTTAAATATTGAAAAAAATTTCCCTACGTTCTATGTGTATCTTCAAGAAAACTGGCTGACCATACCAGAAATGTTTATGGGTCACTATAGAAAAGGTCTGATGCATTTAGACAATCATACTAATAACAGACTTAAAAGGTGGTTATTTTAAGATGGCTTCATTATTTTTAATAGAAAAGTCTTGTAATGGAAAAAGTTTTAGATCGAATAAGTTAATTTTTTTATCAATAATTAATTGTTATAAAATTATTTAACAATAATTTTATAACAATTAATTATTGTTCTGATTAGATATCATAGAACACTTAAAGATGTTGGTCTTTTGTCACGCGTGTCACCGGGAAATCTTATAGATAAAAAGTTAATAGAGTGCAAATAGAAAAATCTAAACATGCAGACTTTGATCAACAACTAAAAATTAACAATAAACTTCCAGAGCCACTAAAGTTTTATTCACGTCATGTTTCTTCTTTTATTCTTCGTCATCTCATGGAACAATATGATAAAAGTATCAAGTCTGATTTTAGTTTATATGAGGTTAATAATTTTTATTAAATGTACTCCATTTTTTATTATTTTTTGTTTTCTAATAAGATTTGCTAGTCAATCATTACTTATGGTGTTTTAGGACAGAGATTCATTACAAATAATCGATCGGCAATCAACTTTTTATAACATAATAGACTGGGTTTGCATCTGTGATGCTGCATCAGGGTTTGGCGTGCCGTGTGCACATGTTCTTTTTGCTCTAAGAACGAAGAATGTAACTGTTAATGATCTACAGTTGATTCATAAAAGGTAACCTTGGGTTTTCTACTAATTAATAATAATAAAGGTTCGTAATATTATATAACTTCATGACCTTATTTAAATTTCAATCCACTTATGTTATAGATTGCTAAATTAAAATTTATTTGAATAATAATCAATTTACAATTTAGTAGTCAAAACATGTATTGTAATGTTGCACGCAATTTATTACTTATTAAATGTTCTGAGTCATTGTTTATTATAGAAAAAGTTACTTTAAAAAGTTACCATGCCATTCAGGTAATCTAAAAAGCAAAACAAATGATGTATCGATGATCCCCTATTTGCATTTTTTAATGCTAAATTGATTGTCTGTTATAGTTCAATAAATAAAATAATTACTTTTATTTAATTGGCTAGAAGAATTCTTTTTTGTGTACACTGAAATAAAAATTTTAAATACATTTTTTAACCTACTTTACACTAGGATAACAGAAATTATTTACATTGACATAAATTTATTTAGGTGGATTTCATGCAATACTGTAGCAAACCAGGTAAGTTTTGACCAAGCGCCATCACATATTACCTCAAATATAGAATTATTACCTCTCTGTTGTGCCACTCCTAAACAAAGATTTACAACAGCAATGAGTTACCTTCAACCAATAGCCTCTTTGCTCGCTGAAATGCCACCCAAAAAATTTGAACTTGCAATAACCTGGTTAGAATCTATTAATCAACAATGCATTTCTGGTGAATGGGAACTGATGGTATGTCAATGGATTTTAGATGCTTTCAGTTTTCAAATCATTAAAGAACTGCATCAGAAAAATGTTTTGTTTATTTTAGTTTCAAAGTGATCCTTGTCTAGAAGTTTTTACACCTGCAGAAGATCACACTGATCCTTGTCTAGGAGGTTTTACATCTACAGTAGATCAAAGTGATCCTTGTCTAGAAGGTTTTACATCTACAGAAGATCTATCATCAAAAGAAATTTTAGAAGTTAAATCACCTTCAAGTGCAGATCCTATGATTACCCCACTTGAATGCATAAATAAAGAAATATGTGAAATAGTCTCTCAAGAGCCACATATAAATTTAGTTTTAAGGCAACCCCAGCGGAAGCCAACTGGTCGTGTAGGTAAAAACAAACAGAGACTTTTTGACAAAGCTATAAAAGCGTTTGAAAAATTAGGTAGTTTTGAAAAAGATCATATACGTCTCTGTTGGTTTGTAGAAAGAACAGTTGCCCTGCAGGTTTTACACGAGAGTGCTAAAATTACCACCTGCCAGTTTTTAAAGCAGTTATCGAATAAGATTGCTGATCCTAGAGCAAGTCTTGATGACATTAAGCAATATTTTGTAGAGGATGCATGGGCTGAAGTCATCAAACGGTGTGAAGATGTGAGAATTGAAAAATGGCCGTGTCAAGTATGCGGGCAGTCTAAGGCAGCTGGAAAAAACCAAAAATGGCTTCAGTGTGATCATTGTTTAGACTGGTAGCATTATGTTTGTCTACAAATATCTTGCAAACCTAAAGGATATTGGTTCTGTGCTCAATGTTAAGTAAGGAAATAGTGGAATTTAGGTTCATATCCTAATATAAAATATTTTTAAAAGTTTTTAATATCTATTTATTTAGCGACATAAATAAATATTAAAATGTTTATTATTTATTATTTATAGAAACGGTTAGTATATTATAATATTTATAAAGAGCATACTCCATATTTATTTTTATTTATTTAATATATTATAATATAAATTAATATTTTATAAAAAACATTTAAAATAGCTTTTAATTGGCAATTAGCTTTGTGTTTCTTTAGTTAGTGTCCCTTTTTTGCAAAATTCTTGAACCTGATAGTTAAAAATACTTTTTTTGAAATAGCCCTTTATACTACTTTTGAAATAGCCCATGCTACTTTCTAGCATTTCTTAGTTTAGTCTTTTTTAAGCTTACACTTAAATATTGTTATATGTAGAAATGATTTTTGCTAATCTCTAAATATTTTTTATTGCAAGCTACATTTTATTGTTTTTGATATTTGTTATTGCTTAGCTTTGAAAAAATTAAATTTCATTATTATTTTTGTTTCTTTGGAAACCATTATTTTAAATCAGATTTTGGAATTTTCAAATTGCTGAATTTTGTAGATTTTTGATTTTTAATTAAAAGTTAGTAATTCCAGGCTAGAATTAGAGGTATTTGAAGAAAATATCAGCTTTTTTAATTAGATATTTTTCTGCTATTTGGTAGAGCATCAGGTTTTGGCGGAAAGTGAGAGTTGCAGCTCATGGGTCATTATTTGAGCTTTGATTAGTCATGATACATTTTTTAAACATTATGTTATGCATTGTATGATGTATTATAATATAATGTATCATATAATGCTTCCTGCATTAAAATAAAGTTAGAACAAAAGTGTTAGACATGTTGTTAGGCATTTTTCTTTTTTAATTTGTTTCAGAAATTTTATAAAGATACTTTCAGTGCTTAACTTTGATAACGTTCATTTGTTTTTCATATTGCATTCTAGAACTTTTTAATTTTGTTGTGTAAAGTGATATTTTAACTGTGCAGCTTTATTTTAATTTTATACCTTTTCATAAAGTCAACACGAAGTTTATGTTACAGAATGATTTCTTGTTAATTTTTATTTATTAGTTTACTTTGAAAATACATCATGAAAATAAGTGTAACTATTATTAAGTGAAATAATGTGTAACTATTATTTTTAGCAATGTTTCAAAGATTATTATTTTTATCAATGTTTTTAAGTCTAACAAAAGGTTAACCTGTTTCTCTGGTAAGACAGGAAGAGTTTTTTATAGTCATTATAGTTGTATAATATATTATAATCAAGGAATGAAATAGAAGAAAAGTTAATTGCATATAATTTATTCTTGGGAGTTATAAGATGAGACCCATGAGGTAGAGCTGGAGAATTAGATTATCCTTTGTTGTTGACACTGTTAAAGTAAGATCAGTACCTGTTTATTTTCATAAAAGTTTTGTTTTGTTGTTGTTGATAATAATTTTTTAAATCATTTGTATTTTATCTTTATGTTCGCTTTTTTTCATTTAAACACTGGTGTAGAAGGTAATTTTTGTAAGTTATGGAATTTATGCATAGTTATTTGATTTTGTGCTGTTTCATTTGCTTAATTCGTTTTAGATTAGTTGAAGAGAGATTCAGACACGTAGGCTTTACTCCTTTTATTTAATCTCTTTGTTTACATCTTTACAAAATATTTTACTTTAATTAATTGTAAAATCAACCATTGTTTTTAATTTAGTTATGAATGAGTCTATGAATTCGTCTGATAGCGAACAAAAAGTTGCATTCTTTATCACAACTTTAAGATGTACAAGACTCAAAGTTTCTTATATCTTTATTGTTCCCAATATTCAACATTGCATTATGTTGAAAATATTGGAAACCATAAAAATCTATGAATTGAAAACTACAAACTAATTAGAAAAACAGAAGTTATATCATCTTCAATTTAAATTGATTACTTAAAACCACACGATGTTTTTCAATAACCCAAACAACGACTGCTACATCAGCAGCAGCAGTATCAAAAAAAGCAGGTAAATTGATTTTCTAGTTTTTATACATGGATTATTTTTTTTCGGATGTTCCCGGTATTCCGGGTATTTTTTAAGACTTTTTGTTTTCCGGATATCCTCAATTATTTCAATGCATACAAGTTTAAGTATGCATTTGTGTAAATGTTTGGAGTTTTTTAGTCATCACTCATACAAAAAAATGATAAAATTAACTCAGCTGAAGGCAAAAATTAAGAGAAAAATATGAGAAAAAATATTATGCATATTGTACGCAAAGAAATTTCAGGATTTTTAAATTATAACCTGGATCTATGTTTTATAAGTGGTGTCTTCTCCCTTTTTGTATGCATAAAAAAAGGAAAAACCTTTTTAACTTTTTTCAAGACTTAATTTTCAAACACTTTCTGTTTTTCTGTAATGAGGGTTTATTATTAAAAAAAAGCATTAATGGAACTGTAGCTGACACCGTTTTTGTGGTAGCTATTTATGTTATATGTTTATATATGTTTGCTAAAACTTATAATACTTATTTATCCACTATTTATATTGTATCAATCATATATATTTCTGAACAAGGTCTTACAGTCAAGGATACTTACAATTACTTTAAAACTAATATAAAGTAAAAACCTAACGATAATCATATTAAATAATATTAGTGATACAAATAAAAATTATAAAGATAATAGTTATAAATTATCAACACCATTAGCAACAAAAATGGTTTAAATTATAATAAAAATAAATCAATATTTTAAAAGAAAAAATTTATATTATATACATAAACAGGGGGAAAAAAAAAACAATGGTTAATTAATATTTACATCATCTATAATCATAAAATATTATTTGACCACAAACAAATATTAACTTTATTAAATGATTATATTTATTATAAGTTGAATATCTGATGCTATGTGTTATTATTGTAAGTAAACAATGTGTTGTCGTGTTTTAGTGTTGCTAGATAGCTTGACTTAATTTCCTGCTGTTGTCTATCTTTAAAAACGACTATTACTTGTTTCATTACTGGAACTCACAACTTCTAATTTATCACTAAAAGATTTTTCTTAGTAATTGGTTTAAAGCTGAATTTGATTTTTATCTTAAAACCAAAGAAGTTACAAAACCTGTTATTACTGCGAACTGGCATAGGCGCGAATCAGTAAAAGTGCACCATAAGAACTTATAGACATCAGCTTAAGTGCGAACTGGTATAAGTGCGATGCAGTTGCATAGAATGGCATAAGTGCAAGTGGATTAAGTGCGCCAAAAATATTGCAAACATTGCCATGAGTGTGCATCATCATAAGTGCGAATCTTATAAATAAAATTTTATTAATAAGTATTTAATGGACTCCTGCAACAAAATTAATATATATACGGTAAAAAAATATATATGACATTTTATTTTCTGAGATATATTCCTTAATTAATTCCACTCTATTAACAACTCCTCGCCTGGGTTTTTTATGTTACTTAGCTAATACATTTCAATGAGCATTATGCTTTTCCCTTTCAAAATAACAACATTTTTATTATTTTAACAGTTTCCTCGTGAATTTTCACTGTACGTAACTTTTTAAACTAATTTTCACTGTACTGTAACTTTTTAAACTAATTTTCACTGTAACTTAAAAGCTTTTCTAATAAATACGGTGAATTTTCACTGTACAGTGAATTTTCACTGTATTTAGCGAAAACGCTTATTTAGGTACAGTGAATTTTCACTGTATTTAGCGAAAAACGCTACCTTAAGTACAGTGAATTTTCACTGTATCTAACACCAAGCGTTTAGTTTGGTAATTTTTACGTTAACCGGTGTTGTACAAATTTTTTTGTTTTTATTTTAGTGCCTAAAGAGTTAATTTTTCTTACAACAACAACAAAATAATAATTTGAGATCACAAACTTACGGAAACGTAAACAGTGCAACGTGATTGTCATGCTTGTTTCGGTCGTTGCGTTTAAAGGCAAATATAAACGGCAGAATAATAAATGCTAAAGCACGGCAAATCTGAGTAACTGAATTTGCGATTAA